GGGGTGGTATGTGTGTGTGTGTGTTTGTGAGAGAGAGAGAGTGAGCGAGTGAGGATTCACCAGAGACAGAGTGGGAAGCAGACAGACAGACTGACTGAAATACACTGCTGAGGGGAGCAGTGGGTGAGACAGGAGAGGTCTGCTGTGCTTGTGGGTCTGCTCCCTGGCTGGGGATCGAACTCATGCTGCAATGGCTGCTGATGGCTTCATAGGGTTGAGACATAACTCCTTGTGCCGTCAGGGAAGTCCCTGGAAAGATATATTTTTATCCATTTTTTTTAAGATTTACTATTTATACATAAGGAACTGAGGTACAAACTAGAGATGCAGGAATGGTGAGAGGCTTCACCAGAGAAAAAGTGGGGAGCAGAACAGGCAGATAGATTAAGTACACTGCTGAGGGGAGCAGTGGGTGGGTCAGGAGAGGTGTGCCACGCCATTTGGATCATCTCCAGGGTTGGGATCAAACTCATGTGGAAGTGGCCTTAGCTTTTTAGTGCTGTTCTTTAACCTGTTGTGCCACCAGGAAGGGCCCTATCCATTGTCCATTGATATTTTGAAGATTTTATTGTTACTTTTTTTTTTCCTTCAGGATGAAAGCAAAAATTGTTGAGCCATACAATAAAATAGTCGCCCGTACCGCACAACTAGCAAGACTTCAGGTAGATTCTCATTTTTCATTTTTTTATACTTTATTCATTTTGTTTTTATAACTGGAAAGATTTCAGTAGTGTAATTCCTGAAGAGATAAAGAAATATAAGAGAAACAGAGAAAAACATCAAAAAGCTTTATCATAAGATATCCAGTTTAAAAATACAAAATTTGTAACATTTTTGGAATCACCATACCTTTCTGTAGAGGCTGTGCTGTGTTACATTCTCAACAATATTGAATGAGAGTTCTTTTTTCTACACTTCCTTTCTGCATTTGTTTCTAGTCTAATTAATATAGGTCATTATTAGAGGGGTGATATGATAGCTCATTGTGATTATGATTTGTATTTCCTATGTAATAAGTGAACATTTTCCATATGCCTGTATCTGATTATCTTCTTTGGAAAAGTATCTATTTAGGTCTTTTGAACATTTTTTGGTTGGATTTTTTTTCAGTTATCATTGAGTTGTATGAATTCTTAATACATTTTGGAAATGAACCCTTTATCAGATGTGATGTGCATGTATCTTCTTTCTGTAGGTTGCCTTTTTGTTTTTAAGGTGATTTCTTTTGAGTTAATACTGCCTTTTATTTTGATATAGTCCAATTTCCTTACCTTTGCTTTTGTTTCCTTTGCCATTGGGGTTGTATTCCCAGACACAACTGTGTGGTAGAAATACCATGCGATCCAGCAATACCATTGCTAGATATTTACCCAGGAATACAAAGACTCTAATATGAAAAATGAAAAGACTTATGCACTGCTGTGTGTATGGGATTATTTTTAGATTTTGCTGCCTTCAGTTGACCCAGCTTCCTGCTTTTGTATCAGTACTGAAATGCCTCAATCAGAGCCAAAAAATGTTGAAAAAGGATACTATTTAATTCCTTTGCAGTTCCATTAAAGTATTAGGATGAGCTTGTCAATTTTTACTCAAAAACCAGTTAGGATTTTGACTGGAAATACATTCATTTATAGATCAATTTGGGGAAAATTGACATTTAATACTATTAAATAGTCTTCTAATTCATGAATAAATCTGCATTTATTTAGGTCTTTTGAATTGTGTGCATCTTAGGGCTAATTAAGAATATACTGCTGTGAATAGTTTTGTAGAACTACTCTGGCTTATGTAGGCCATCAGTTCTCTAAGATGTATTTTAGCAATAAAATTGTTGGGTTATAGTATTTCTGATCTTTAATTTTGTTAGTTAATGCCAAAATATTTTTTAAGTAGTTATGTCTTGCATTCTAATAGTATATAAGAGTTGCTATTTGTTTATTTCCTTGTCACCATTTTGCCCCATTTTGTCTCAGAAGCTATAAAAATGTTAGTTGTTTGCAGGATTGGAAAGTATTATTAGCTTAAAGGTGCTTCCTTTCTCTCAGGACTCTCCTCTTTTGTATTACTGGATACAGTAATTACTGTATTATTTTGATATTCCAATTTGTATTATCATTTTTTGGGTGCCTTTGAGGCAATTTTACTTTTTTTCATTTTATACAGCATTTCAATAGGAAGCTACTTACTAACGCAGTCTATTACCAACAATAGTAAACTCATGTCTGATTTTTTTTTTAAGATTTATTTATTTATACATATTGAACTGGGATACAGGCCAGAGGTACAGGGGGTGGTGAGATGATTCACTAGAGAGAGAGTGGGGAGCAGAAGAGGCAAATTGACAAAAGTACACTGCTGAGGGGAGCAGTGGGCAGGAGACAGGAGAGGTCTGCTGTGCCATGTGGGTCACCTCCGGGGCAGGGATGGAACTTGCACTGAATCTGCTGTGGCCAGCTTACAGTGATGCATCCTAACTTGTTGCACCACCAGTGAGGGCCCATGTCTGATCTTTTTCATAAAACATCAGATTGTATTCTCCTGATAAAATTAGTCTCTAGTTCCTTAGCAAGAAATTAGAATGAACTCTCAAGTCCTCAATATGGCACTTTTATTAACGTTACCTTTTGTCATTTAAAAGTTTTTTTTTCCCTGGACAATAACCACACAAAACTACTCACCTTTCTAGAAATTCTCATATTCATTTCTTTGTATATTTTCTTCCTGCCCTAACTTAGAATGTTCTTGTTGCTCAACAGATTCCAATTGATGTCAACTCTTTTGTGGAGTCCTCTCTTTTGCCCTTCCTTTTGGCAAACCAAAAATTCCATTTTCATTTTTCTGGTTCTTTTAATAACATGTGCATACTGCCATTATAGTACTTTTTTAATAACTTTCTTCTTATATTCTCCTATAAGACTATGCTTCTTAAGGATTGTGATAATGTTAATATTTTAATCTAGTTTTAGCATAGTGCTATATGCCAGGACTTTATTAAATGTTTAAGAGGTGAATAAAGTTACTTGTTCCTTGATCTGTGCCCCCACTGTAACAATTTTTTAAACTCATAATGTCTCTGAGATTTTATAATTATATTTAGAAGTTTTATACATAATTTTATGGGTGAATAAGGTGCCGAAAACTCCATGTTAAAAGTTCACATAGCCAGGATGCAGCAACATTAAGACTGTGAAGCAGGATTTCTTTCTTTAAATTTAGTATTTTATGCTTTTCATTTGTGGAATATATAAAACAAGAAAATGCAACTCCTATTTTTCAAGTATTATATAGGCAAAAAAAGTATAAAACAAAATTTAGCTTTAGAAAATGGGTGAAGAGCATTGGACTAGGAGTTTTGAGGCCTGGAGCACTATTTTTCAATTACCTGCATGATAATGAACAAATGTAATTGTCTTTTTTCTCAACTTTACCAAAATACAGTTAGTATATAATATTGTATAAGTTCAAATTGTATAAGGTGGTGATTTCATGCCTGTATATTGAGATATTGTGAAATAATTCCCATAATAAGGGAATTCTTTACTTCATGGAATCATCATTTTTGTTGCTGTGCTGTAGTGTGGGTGCAGTATTCTTTTTTTTTTTTTTTCCAGTGAAAGTCCACACTAGATCTGTGAATTTTCTTCCAGCTCTAAAATGCTATGACTCTATGATAGTATGATAGTTTCCTTTATTTTATTTTTTTATTTTTTAAAAGATTTATTTATTTATTCATACAGAACTGGGGTGGGTACAGGCCAGAGATGCGGAGAGTGAGAGGATTCACCAGAGACAGAGCAGGAGGAGAACAGGCAGATCAGGCAGATCGAGGAAGTACACCTCTGAGGGGAGCAGCGGGCGGGTCAGGAGAGGTCTGCTGCGCCATGTGGTCACCTGGGGGGGGTGGGATCGAACTCATGCGGAAGTGGCTTAAGCTTCTTAGTGGTGTGTTTTAACCCACGTCACCACCAGGGAGGGCCCAGTTTCTTTTATTTTTTTAGAAACTTTGTTCTTTATAGTCCTGTAAGCATAAGAGGTGGAACATAAGAAATGAGGACTGTTTAGTAACATATTTTCTCATTAAATAATAGCCCTAATTTTCTACTTTCTAATTGTAAACAGCATTAAACTGTAGTGACAGCTAAGTTGAATGATTTTGGCCAAATTATTATAAAGAAAGAAAGAAAGGGATGGATAGAAGAGAAAAAGCAATGTGTCTAGGTCAGTTTTGGCATCTTTATTCTAGTATTTAATTTTTCCTGCATCAACTTAAAGGCATCTTACTTCAGGAAGAAAAGCTCATCTTAGAAGTTTGTGGTCTTCCAAACTGTTTTGAGGAATAAGTGCTTCTTGGAAACTTATTTATGTTTTTTTTTTTTAAAGACTATTTATTTATGCATACAGAACTGGGGTACAGGCCAGAAGTGCAGGGGTGGTGAGAGGATTCATCAGAGACAGAGTGGGGAGCAGAACAGGCAGATTGTCGAAGTACACTGCTGAGGGGAGAAGCGGGCAGGAGACAGGAGAAGTCTGCTGCACATTTGTGGGTCACCTCCCTGGCTGGGGATCAAACTCATGCTGAAGCAGCTGTGGCTAGCTTCATAATGCTGTTCTTTAACCTGATGAGCCACAGAACCTTATTTATGTTTTAAGTAATGGAAAAAGTTTTTATTCTGTTCACTTTGTCTAGCCATTGTACTTTAATTGTCTTGTTTAATTTTTTTATTCTTTGAGTTGCTAATTCATTTAAGTGTCTTTGGTATAAGAAAGCAAGCAAATAAGAAAGTTGTTTTTCATTGAAGGTAAAAATCTCAATGATTGTACCCTTAATTAGAATAAAGTAATTTTGCACTTAATTCTTTTTACTTTTTATCAACATTTCACTCTCTTACCAGAAAGCCTTTCTTTCTTCAAGCAGGAACTTCTGACTTCATCTATATACATGAATACATGAGTTGAATTTAATTATCACCCAAAGAATCATCTCTATTTTAGTTCATTTTAGTGACATTGTTTGCTTCTGAATTGCTTCAGAGTTTTTCAGAAAGAAATTTTGAAGAGCTTATTATCCCTTACATAGAACATTTAAATTTTTTAGCTTTTAAATTATATAAGAAAATGAGTTTTTAACTTTCACATTTTACAAGTTTCTAACACTCTTAATCAAAAAGTTAAAAAAAGCTTTGAGATATACTTCACATACTGTGTAAGTTTTTATCTTTTAACCTATTTTAAGTCATACAAATTTTTTAGCTTTTCAGTTTTTAATGTGATTTTTAGACTTTGAAATTATGTAAGAATGATAAAACACTCAAATGAAGGGGAAAATAATTTATAAAACCTTTCTCTTTTTATATACTTATGCTTTATATGTATATTCTTTTATCATAGTTTTGTTTGGACAGAGAAATTAAATTCAACTGAAAGAACTGGGGAAAGCATGTGCAAAACAATTTTTTAAAACTATCAGTTGTTTTTGCTTGCATTGTTGGCTTGTTATGCAGATGTTCTTGTGTATATTGTGCAAGTAAAGTAAATGAATAATCTTCAATGATTCTGATTTGTTATATCTTTGTGAGTCAGGATTTTCAGTGTGGGAGAAATAACATACAGATTTAAGTTGGAAGATTCAGTAAATACTCTGGACTTCTGATTTTTAATTGGA